CCTGTCCGACGGGTGACATCATCTTTAACACCTTGTCTGCACTGGGAAATGGTTTGCAACAGTGTTTCCCCACGTGCCTCCCACGTCCCTGGCCCCCTCCCTGCCTTCTGAGCTGTGTTGAGGGCACAGGCTGCCCTTTGGTCTCTGTGGCGGCTTCCTTCCAGGAGCAAGCTCCGCGCAGGTGCTACGTTCACTTTGCCTGCCTCCTGTTTGGCTGGAAGGTGATCCCAGGTTGGTTCACATCCAGACTTGAAGGGTCTCAAAGGGCCACCATTTCAAGGGTTCTGCCCATCTCCAGCAGGCCAGTAACTGCTTTTTTTCATCATGATTTTGAATTTGGCGCCTTCTCCTCCCACTCCCCAGGACCTTCTCTTGTGACTGGTCAGAATGATAGCCAGGCACCATCTGCTTCTTCAGATTTAAGGTGGTGGAGGCCGGGGTCCGGGTGCCCACAAGTCCTTGGCCTGATTGTTTTCTTGAGTCTCTGATCTTCACACGTCCTTGCTCTGGACGGGAAGAAGTCAGAGGTGGTCTTAGATGGCTGCTTGTGCATTTCCTGCTTCGAACCAGGTTCTGTTCAGAAATGCTGTATACAAGGACACTTAGCAGACCTGATATTTTCTGTTCTCAATTCAAAATGTTCTTTCTATAAAGGTCTTCATAGGTTGGAGTGAAAATTTCAGCACACCCTCATAGTAGCTAGGTGGTGGGCAGGGCAGGGGCAGCAGGTTGTAGTGGCCGCTGGGCAGGGCTTCACTCGGGAGATGAGGTGGATGGAGCAGGGAGGTTGTCCTTTGAAATCTGGGTCAAGAGGGCTGAGTTCCTTCAGGGGGCAGGCTCTCTGAGGGGTGGGGAGTCACGTCCTTGGGTTGGTGTCTTCTGTCCAAGGCCCATGGTCCCTGGGGGCCAGCCCTCAGGGTTAAAGAGCAGCTGCCCACCAGGAGTGACAGACACCAGCGGTCACTTAGCAGGATGTGGGCAGCACTGTGTCCCAAGCAGGGCTGAGCTGGGCTGTCAGTACCAGTCAGGTGGAGGTCCCGGGACCCCTGGCCTGTGGTCTGCCTCTACAGCAGATGGTCTGTGTGCATGCCCCCCCCATATTCCTCCCTGTCCCCGGGTAGAGGGGAGACTTCCAGGACAGAGGATGGGGAGCTGGGCGACAGTGCCCCTGCAGGAGATGCTCTCAGGACCCGGAGCAGGGCTAAGGGGCTGGGCTGCGTGCGTACCCCCCCCCCCACCTTGCCCTGTCCCAGCACTGCCCTCTTTTCCATGTTTCCAGATCTACAAGTCATCCAAATGCAACGATATGCGACAAACCGGCTACTGTCCACGGGGCCCTTTCTGCGCCTTCGCCCACGTGGAAAGTAAGTGCTTGGTGCTGCCCGAGTCCCCGTATTCGGAACAGACCCAGCTTCTACTCATTATGGGCAGGGGGCTTGGGAGCACCCCAATATATCTGCTTAAAGCCACTGGGACACGAGGGCGAGCATCCTGCATTAGGGCTGACCCAGGTCTGGCCACACAGCCCACAGTTGCCCTCTGCCCTGGGAGGCCCGGGATGGGTGACTGGGCTCTGAAGGACAGCCAGGGGGCCTTCCGCCTGGCACAGCCACCTCCCTGCCTGAACCTGGCAGGGTAGAACTGCCTCTGTGGGTTTCTGAGATGGTAAATCTTTATGGGAGTAGAAAGCCTCATCTTTCTCCCATGGAGTGCCTGGTGGTTTCGAACTACCGACCTTGCAGTTGCAGCCCAGGGTGTAGCCTAGTGTGGCACCAGGGCTCCTTCTTTAAGTATAAGCAGCAAATCCCAGGACATTCCCCACTGGCATCTCCCCCCCTGCTCAGAAAAGTCATCGCACCAGCACGGGCCTGGCTGGCTGGTTTGATGGGGGATCCCTTCACTCACGGCCTGACCTCCCTTCTTGGCAGAGAGCATAGGAATCACAAGTGACTGGGGTTGCAGGGACCCCAACTTCACCCACAGCCCCACACCGAACAGCGGCCCCCTAGGAAACGTAAGTTGACAGCCTGCAAAGGGGGACTCGGGTGGCCAGTTGTGTGTGCTGACACCAAGGGTGGAGGGGGAGGCAGCCTGCCCAGTGTGGTCAGTGACATTTGAGCCGAGGCCTGCGGGGACTCAGATCCCTGTCTGGCTGTGAGTGAGAGGTGTGATCGTGTCCAGGAGATTTCCAAGTCCTCCCAGACCGGCGGGGAGTACTGACAGGGGCTCTGGGGCTGCAAGGGGCTGCTCGGCATTTTTCCAATGGCCCTCTCGCTGTCCTGTCCCCTGTGCAGGCAAAGCGGAGAGACTCGCCCGCGGAAGGTGGCCAGAAAGGCGGTGAACGCAGCCTCAAGCAGGTGAAGCGGCTATGGTTGCTCTCCTTCCCCGGCCATGACTCCGAGCTCCCTCTGCTGCTGACGCCATCTCACGTGGTCACCCTGTGACGGTTCTTTCCCACGGTTACTCGGCTGCGGTCTTTCACGCATGCCCACCACCCCTGTCCCAAAGTGCTCTGGTTCAGGGCCTTTGGGACAGAGCTTGTTTTTCTGATTCTCACAATGCCCCATGCCACAGTCCTGGGGCCTCTAGGTCTGATGGTTTAATATGTGTGGGGAACTCAAGACGGGGTAAAACCCAGGCTTGGGACCAACTTCTCAAAGATCAGGCAGAGCCTGTCCTAGTGAGCCGGCCAGGCTGTCTCCACACCCCACCTGAAGGTCGTGGCCTCGGGGGAGTGGCTAGGTGTGGGCATGAGAGAGCCCAGGCAGACTTTTGGAGTGAAGAGTCAGGCGGTGTGGCCGGGGTGAGAAAGAGGCTGGGTGGGGGGTGGGGGGTAATGATGAGGGTGCCTGGCTGTAGGTTTTGTTGAAGTTTTGTCACAGCACCTCCAATGGGGTGCAGCCACCTCATGCTGTGCAGTACCCCCACCTTCACCCACCACTGTGGACTTGGGCCACGTAACTCAATGTTCTACTTGTTTGCTCAGCGTTGGGTTTTTGGTTTTAAAAAACAATTGATTTCCTGTAAATGCCAAAGCTGGTGTATTTCTATATCATCAGATAAGAACCAGAATGTTCTAGATGATTCCAGCGTTCCTGAGTTGGTCCAGGGAGACTGCAGGTTCTGGTCTCCTGGCACCTAAGCTGAGGGGATGGGGCATAGAGCAGCCATGGGGGCAGGAAGTCCCAGTGACACTGTGGCTGAAATGTCTAGCTGCCCAATAAAAGGGCAACAGTTAGAGCCCCCAGTCCCTCTGGGGGAGAAAGATGCAGCTGTCTGCTTCAGTCAGAACGAGTCTCAGAATCCACAGGGCCCAGCGGGCATTTCCCCCATCCTACGGGCATGCACAGGTCAGAACGGCCCCGAAGCCAATGACTTTGTGTTGGTTTTTAGTGTCTTATTGTCTGAGTCGGTGGCATCACATCAGTCCCTCCTCTTGATGGACACCTGCAGTGCTCCCGCCTTCCTGGCCATTGCCTGCACCCCCCTTTTCCGGAAAGAGGGTATATCGTGAATACGGGGGTGGTTTACTGAGTGTTTTTAGAGGCTGACAGTTCATACACATTTCGTTTCAACTCCTCCCTGGCTTTGGGGGCAGTGTCCATCCCCAGGCCATTCCCTCTGTGCTGGCTCCTTCCAAACCCTGTCCTGGTGGAAATGTTGCCTTCTTGACTTTAGATGGTCAGTTAGCCTAACACAAGGGTGAGTACCGCTCTATCCCTGCGAGGAGACTGAGGGCCAGGGTCTCCGGGGGTCTCCCCCATCTCTTTTTAGCCACTATGTCTACATTCACTTAAAGTTTTTTCATTATTACTTTTTTACACTCACTTTTGGAAAGTTATCCTGTGTCTGAGCTAGGGTACATCCCCGGCCACCCCTGAGTCCTAGAGTGCTGCCTGGCCAGGCCATCATTCATGAGAGGCAGGAAGCCCCCCCAGGACAAAGCTGGTCTCACCTGTCCTCCTCATCTGTTGGGACAGAACCAGCTCACGGTGCTGGCTGTGGTCCGCCCGCTGTCCACCAGTACTGGCTCCGGGACACCCTCGCCGACGGTGATGTCTGCCCTGGACGCCCGCACCCTCCTGCTGGACCCCACGAGCACCACCGTGGAGTCTGTCCTGGGTGAGTCCAGCCCTGCTACTCCCTCTTCATGTGTGTATGCGCAGCAGCTCCTGGGACACACTTGGTCACTGTGCCTTCCCAGCAGCTCCCTCTTGGTGTGTCCCACAAAGTCACAACTGCAGAGGTTGTGTCTTTGGTGGGGGACACATGAAAATGTCCTTGTGAAGCCAGAGGTTGCCCGAGGGGCAGTGGGGCCACAGCAGTAGGGTGTCCTAGAGTTTGGGGGAACCTCCATCTGGGTGGGAAGATGGTGGCCACACGGGGACTGGGGGAGCAGGCCAGAAGGAGCTGGGTGTGTCCTGCACTGGGTCACCATCTTTCCAACATCTTTGACTTGGGGTAGCTCTTCCCAGCAGACAGGCAGAGACAGTGTTTGCTGACCCGATAGAGGCTGGTGGTTAATCACAGCTGGGCAGAGGCAGGGGAGGGGGTGACCACACTGGCTCTGTGGTCAGTTATATCCCAGATGAGATCTTGGTAGACTTGTCCTTTGGGGCCCCAGGGCTGGAGGGGTAGCCGCCAGTGGTGACCAGGCAGCAGTGCCAAGCACCACTGTGAGTTAAACGCTCCTTGTTAAACGCAAGCCTCCAGATGCGAGAGAGCCCAAAGGGGAGGGGGCCTGACAGTGATGGGGGTGAAGTTCCCCTCAGCTGCGGGGGGCCTGGGCGGAGATAAGAGGCGGTGCAGTTTGTGATGGGCAGGGTGAAAGGGCGTCAGAGTCTGTGCTGGGGTTGGAGCTGAGCGGGAGTATGGGGGTGCAAGGGCGGGGCCTGATGACATTGGAGGCGTAGGAGGTGGAGTCTGTTGGGGCTGGAGCTGAACAGGGATGGGGCCTGAAGATGCTGGAGCGGTGGGAGGGCGGAGCCTGCGTTAGAGGCGGGGTTTGAGATGGGCGTGGTTTCTCAGGGGCGGGGTGAAGGAGGGCGGAGTCCGCGGGGTTAGAGTTGAGTGGAGGCGGAGCCTAGTGAAACCCAGGTTGGTGGGAGGGCGGAGCCTGCGCCGGGTAGGAGCAGACAGCTTGGGAGGTTCAGACGCGGGAAGCAGGGCCAGGATGGAGTCTGGGTCAAGGGAGGTGGCAGGTCCGGGATCGCTGGGACGTCAAGAACCGACATTTGGCGTCATCGATGCCGTCGGGCACCAGCGCCTGACGTGATCGAGGTCCGGGACGGGCTGCGTCTGGGTCAGACCGGGCGGTTACGAGACGTAATGCGTCACGCAGGGCGGGACCGGGCCAGTCGGCGCATGCGTGGCAGGGCGGGGAGGGGCCGGGCGGGTTTGAATCGGCGGCGGCGGCGCGGCGGCGGCCAGGGGACGGTGAGTCAGCATCACATGCGACGCTTGGCTCTTGGGGCCCCGGCGGGGCAAGTGGGTCAGGAGCGCGCCCAGGTGCTGTGGTCTCAGGGCCGCCGGCAGCTCAGGGCGTTTAGAGGCCGCCTGGTGCCAGTGTAGCCGCCCCTTTCCGTCTGCACCTGTACGTGCCCGCGCCTAAACCTGCCCATCCTGCATCCAAACTCAAACCTGCCTGCATCTCCTGCCTCCAAACCCAAACCTGTCCTCGCATCCCTGCGGCCACCTGCTTACCAAGTTCTCTAGTGTCTAGCCCCTGCCTCCAGTCCCCCTGACCATCAGGCCGGTTTCCAGAGCTCGGGTGAGGGTAGCTTTCTCCAGCGACCAGCAACTACTCAGGGCTGACACTGATGGCTGTCCCCCAGATCCCTTTAATGGTAGAGACCCCTTGAGAGGGGCGGGGCATCACGGATGTCCCCAGCCAATTGGGGTGGGCTTCTCCTCCAATAGAGGAAGGACTTGGGGTCTGGGGAAGCGTGACTGTTCTGGGTCTGGCCTTTGCCCCAGGCAGGTCTGTCTGTGTGTCCCTAGAGCCCAGAGGTTGGCAGGGCAGGCCAGGGTCATTACTCAGCAGTTTGGGGCTTTTTCCTCACGGCCAGCAGGCATCCAGGTCAGCTGAACTGTGCATGGACCTGCTGGTTATATAACCGTCCACCTAGTTCCTAAGCTCCTGCTGCCCCAGAACGATCCTCTGAAGGGGGACTGGCATAGGGGTGGGTGGGGTCACTGCTAAAGGAAGGTTCCACTCTGGACCCAGGCCCCGCCTCCACACACCTGTGTGCCTGAGGATCCCTGGGGCTGCTGAAGGGTGCTGTGTCTGGCCGAGTCAGAGCTGGAGTGTGTGTGCGCCCTGTGCGTGTGGCTGTGCCCCCTGGGGCCCCAGACGGTGATGGCAGGTGTGTAAGGGTTGGGGGAGCAAGGGGGGAATAGCCCAGGTGCTGAGTCACAAGCAGGTGGGTGCCTGCTGTCAGATGGCTCAGGGTGTCAGATGACTTCACATTCAACCTGGCTCTTTGTTTAGTTTCTGGGCTCTGCAGAACAACTCCGGCTAAGGGTTCAGTCCAGGGGGCCGGATTGCTGGGGGTGGCGGTTGGGAGGCGCTGTACGGGAGGAGGTCAGTGCTCATCTGGGATGAGTGCCTGCACAGGCCGGCACTGTGGGGGTGGTTCTTAATGGGTGGGGCTGGGAGAGGCCTCTGGAAGGGAGGATGCCACCCTGGGCACTAAGGCGCAGCCTATAGGATGTGTCTGGGGTGTATGATTAGCTGCCCGATCGTCCTGCTGGGGGTGGTGGCGGCCGGGGCTCTGAATGGCTGAAACAAGATGAGGGGTTTTCGGGGGTCCAAGGTCGGACCCCAGGGTGATATCCCTGACGGTAAAGTGGCTCTGTTTGACAGGTTCTGCTTTAGATCTGCATTTTAGTGACATAAATATCGCATCTCTAGAGAAAGGTCTGGAAGAGCAGGAGAACGGCGAGCCCACACCAGCAGGTAAGGCCCTGGGCCTGAGGCCTTTCCTGTCGCCTGTATTCTCACAGGAGTTTGGGGGGGAGGATGCTGGCTCTCAGGTGGGGGAGAGGTGTGGAGGTCTCTGTCTCTGGTCCCTTGCCCCTTTTGTATTGGCCTCCTCGGCCCTCATTTACCCCTCCTCCCCTCCCCCAAGTGAAACTCCCTTTCAAGTCTGATCTCATAGCCAACTCCTACAAAGATGACGGAGGCAGTTCTTGTGCCCCAAAGGGCAGGCTGGCTTCCCGCATCGGTATCTGAGTGTAAACTCCCATGGAACCAAACATTTTCCTCCTCCTCCTCCAAGTGGCTGGTGGCGGCTTCAAGTTGCCGACGGTGCCCAAAGACCAGTCCACCAGCATCACATGTTAGTGAGCAGGCTGAAGCCTCCAAGGTTTCCCCTTGACATTAAAAGCACTTCATCCAGTTCCTGGCCGCCCTGAAGGTGCTCTGGCTGGCCGAGATCCCTCTGGAGCCAGTGCACCAGGACTCTGCCCCTCCCTGACATCCCTTCTCCCTCTGCCTGTAGGTCAGCGGCTGCTGGGTGGCTCTGCCCCGGTGGCCATTCCGGGTCCTCTGACACGTTCCTCGTCGCTGCTGTCATCCTCATCCCTGTCCACCTCCCCACTCAGTTCTCTCTCCCAGTCCCTGTCGGGGCCACTGGTCTCCTCGGCTATGACACCCCCTCAGCAGCCCCCACCGCCTCCCAAGTCAGAGCCTGGGGGCCTGGGCTCCTCGGCCTCCTCCTACAGCTCCTTAGGTGAGCGGGGCCGGGGTAGGGTGGGGTGGGCTGTGAACCCACCGGCCTCCCCACGGCACATGCAGTGGGACTACCTGAAGGCCCGGGCTCCTGGTTAAGTTACTGTGCCGCCTCCCTTGTTCAAAGCTGTTGATTTTACACATCTCCGTGTTGGCAGGTACCACCTGTGTCCTGGGGAGGGCACAGGGGGTCCCAGAACAGGCTCACAAAAAGTACCAATTTGAGCAGGCCCCCAGAAACGGACGTCACCCCTTTCCTTCTACAAGCTCAGCAACCGTTGGTCTGAGAACAGGGCTGGTCTCAGCGCCCCCACCCTGGCTTCCGTCAGGACCAGGGTGCAGAGCCCCAGGGTCCCCAGCCATCCCCTCCCCCCCATCGCCCTCGCAGGCTTAAACGGCGTCCCTGGGAACATCTGGGACTTCGTGTCGGGCAGCTTCTCCCCCAGCCCATCCCCCATCCTGGGCAGCGGACCCACTGCCCCCTCCACTGGCGGGAGCCCCAGTGGCGCCGAACTGGCCCGCGTGCGGCGGCAATTGGACGAGGCCAAGCGCAGGATCCGGCAGTGGGAGGAGTCCTGGCAGCAGGTGAAGCAGGTGAGGGCGCTGCGGCGGGCCTGTGGGGGGGGCGCCGCCCCGCCGCCCCCTTCGTGCGGCCCCCAGCCCCGTCTTCCTGCTCGCAGGCCTGCGACGCGTGGCAGCGCGAAGCCCAGGCAGCCAAGGAGCGCGCGCGGGCGGCTGACAGTGACCGGCAGGCAGCGCTGCGGCGCAAGGAGGAGGTGGAGGTGCGCTGCCGGCAGCTGCGGGAGGAGCTCGGGGGCCTGGGCCTTGCGGCGCTACCAGGGCTGCGGGGCGGCGGCGACCTGGAGGCCACGCCACTGCCCACGCTGCACTCGCTGCAGAGCCGCCTGCGCCTGGGCCTGGAGGCGGTGGACGGGGTGAGTCCGCGGCTGGGGCCTGGGGGCGGGGCGGGACATCACGGGCGGCAGGGGGCTGGCTGGCCAACCATGGGTTTTGTAGGTCATGTGGGTCGGGCCTCCATTCTCATCCTTTCATGTGCTGGTGGGCTACGGCCTGGCCCGCCTTTATAGCCCACGTCCCCACACCTCCCCTTTCCCTTGAAGGAGACCTCCCTCTGGCCCTGGGAATGGTGGGTGACAGGCAGCGGTGCCCCTGCCAACAGTCCCTCATCCCCGCAGGTCATTGTCCAGTTGCACGCGAAGCAGTGCCTGGCGTGCCAGGAGCGGGCCCGCAGCACCGCCCCCTTGCCCTGCCCCCACCGTGCCCTCTGTGAGCCCTGCGCCGCCAGTATGCCCGCTTGCTCCTACTGCAAGGCCCAGCCTGCCCAGTGGTGATCAGGCCCGCGCCTCAGCCTGCCTCGGGGAGCTGGACCAACCCGGAGCTCGCCTGCGCACTTATTTCCGTGGGCGCTTTCCTGGCGCGCCCACAACCCTGTGCAGATGGGCTCAGTGCAGGGGGGCGTGGTGGTCTGACCCTGCTGTTGGCTAGAGCACTCGGAGCTGAGTCTCCGGAAAGCACTTTGTAAAACCAAGGGGTTTAGTTAGTTGTTAAAAATTGCTCTATGCTGCTTTCTAGGTTTATAGTTTTGTTTTTTTAATATGCGATAATATGAAGCTTTCTATGTGTACTGTGAACTCTAAAATATTTCCTATCAGTTTCCTGTTAACTCATAGTCTGGTAAACATCTTAGATTTCACATTCTGAAATTTGTACTTATCTAAGGACTATCTATCTAGTGGAGAATGCTAGGGTTTTCAAATAAGTGCGAACAGATGGTATTTATAAGCGGAGCGAGCCTGAGAAGACGCATGTCCTGTTAGCTGTGTGCGTGGCTTCATGAAGGACCTGCTTTCTGAGCACTGCCCCCCATGCACGCCTGCTGGCAACGTTTTGTCCAGCACTGTGGTGTGGGGACAGCTCTCCCATGCCGCTACATGACCTGTGGCCACTTCTCCCAAGAAGAGGTGCAAGAGAGGTGGCTGACAGTTGCTAGCATTACTGCCTGTCATGAGAGGGCAGTGGCTGGAGCGAGTGGCAACAATGCATGTGGCAGGCGGTGGCTTGGAGCGTGGTTTCTAGAAGCGGCTGTGTCTGCCCTGCGGTTCCTCAGACCCGTCATGGGCAATGGTGCTTTGCAGCAGAGCCGCTTGGCCCAGCTCCGGGTGCCCCTGCCCCCTGATCTGTGACTGCAGAGCACAAGGTGTGATGGGCCAGGTGTCTGCAGGGAGGGGGCTGCCTTGGCCTGGGGGACTGGGACCGCCAGCCAGAAACCTCTTCTGGATGGAGTGTAAGACAGACAGACACCGGGGCCCTACAGGACCTGGCTTAGCTGTCCTCAGAATATCTCAACAGCTGCCTGGGCCCCAGCCCCCGCTGCCCCTGCACTGCGTCTCTGCCTGCTCCGGCTTTGCCAAAGACTTTTCATAGCGTTTTTTAAATGTGCAAAATGACTAGGTAAGAATTTTTATCAGTGACCAGATTAGAATGTATTTAATATAGTAAGGAATTTACAAACTTTTTCTAATGTCCACCAGGCCGCACACCCGTCTGCGGTTGCTGCCTCATTGGGTTCCAGTGGGCCCACCTGGGTCTAGTGACGGTGACAGCTCACTCGCTCGCCTGTAGAGATGACGTCTACTTGTGCTACTGTGATCACTGTTTGAAGTCCTTTATTTGTACTCGCATTGATGCTTCTGGCCCGGCTATGGCCAGCGGCATCTCTGGGAGGCCAGGCCGGCAAGGAGCATCTGTAGCTAGAGGTCCAGTTCGGGGATCGTGAGGAACCAGTGAGTTTCAAGTCTGTGTATAAGCTACTCCAGGCAGTTCTGTCTGCAGCTGGGCTGACATTCCAATGGTGGGGCCTCGAGTTCCCACTCTGGTGACCAAGATGGCCTAGGCAGTCTCCAGGGCACCATTAGTCACAGTCCTCGAGGGACACTCAAGTCCCTACTGCTTGGGCAGTCCTCCTGTGTCCCCAGGCTGCAGCAGGGCTGTAGGTCTAGGAGCCACAAAGTGCCTGCCTGGTGCTGGAGGCCCCCAGGGCTCTGGTCTGCATTCAAGTATTTAGATGGGAATGCTATTTGAAGGGATTCTTCACCGTGGAGGTAGCATTTACGATGCAGTTGACCATTGTGAACCCTTGTGTAAATGTTTTACACTCTAGCATTTATGTGACAGTTTACATGCACCCTGGAGTTACTTTTATCGGGGTCATTAAAACCTGGAACCTTTGTTCAGTCTGAGTTCCTGGGGCAGCCAGGGGTTGGCTCTCGGGAGCTGGCTGTAGTGTGTGGACCCTCAAATGCTGTAGTCCCTGGGCTGGGTCACAGTTTGTCACTGCGTCGTCCTGGGTCACCACGCAGCTGTGTTGGGAGACTGTACGTAGTGGTCCCAGTGGGAGGGGGATGAGTGGGCAGGCCCCGTGTAGTCTCTGTAGTCTGGGTGCTGTCAGGTCGGGCCAGCAGCTCTCGAAGCCGCTTCACCTCTTGAGCCAGTTCCTTGTGCGCCTGAAGGGGCAGCAGGGGCTCAGCACCCGTGAATGGCCACCACCACGTCCCCTCCCCATCCCCTGCCCGTACCTGACTGCAGCTCTCCAGATTATCAAACACCAGGCCCTGTGAGACCCCTTCCTGCAGAGTGGGGTCACGGTTCTGTGGTGCCCTCAAGTAGCCAGCCTCCTCAAAGAGCCTCCGCAGCTGCTTTGCATGGCCCTGGAGGGGAGGGGCCCTGGCTGAGTTGTGTCCAGAGAGGGGGAGGGGGGTGGCCAGGGAGGGGGACTGTGGGGGTCTTTACCTGGGGGGTGATAAGCTCATCAGCCAGCTCCTGCTCCACCTGGTCCCACCTCTGCTGCAGGCCCTCAGGCAGCACTGGGTACACTGTGGCCAGAAGCACTCAGTGGGGGGCGGGGCCGGCTGAACATCCCCCCCACACACACACACACTCTCCTGAGTCCCACCTAGCATGGTGTAGAGGGTGGTAGACATCCCTCCCTCCCCAGGGCCCCCCAATGCTCTCCTGAGTCCCACCTAGCTTGGTGTGGGGGTGGTAGAGACATCCCCCCATTCCCAGGGGCCCCCAACACTCTCCTGAGTCCCACCTAGCATGGCGTGGGGGTGGCAGACCAGCGGCGTCTCAAATGTCAGTGAGTACACACAGGTACTGGGCTCTGACACCTGGGCCAGCCGGTGGTTTTTCCCGCATGTGAGCTCCACCTGGGGGCAAAGGCATGGGGTTGGGCGGCCAGTCTGGATGCCTGGGGTCTTGGCCCCGCCCCCCTCCACCCCAGGGACCTCACCTTGGTCTGCCGGCTCTTGGGGCCGCAGGAGTCACCATCCCGCATCCACATACCCACGAAGGTGTAGTTGGCAATTTCCCACTCATGCCAGATGCTGGAGAGGGGAGCAGGTGACCCAGGCCATCCACAGGGGCTTACCACGTGGGAGTGGGGAATGAGGGTAGCACCCCCACCCCCCCTGCCTCCAGCCCAGCCCACCGCTCACCCCAGGATCCCGCTGTAGGCGTTCCAGCGGAAGGTCTGCTCGTGCTGAGTAACATTGTGGAAGGGGCAGAACTCATACTTGTACCTAAGAGTGCAGAGCTTGGTCAGGAGGTAGGGGGTCCCAGGGGCCTGGGGGCTGCCCACCCTGCACTCACGTGGACTCTACGAGGCTGAAGCACTTGCCGGAGAGTCTGAGCAGGTGGTTGGGTCCTGCGGGGAGAGGGCAGTCTACCACGAGGCCAGGCCACTGGCACTGCATGCAGAGCCCACAGAGGCAAGGGTGGTGCTGTGCCCGCCCACTCTCTTGCAAAGAACTTCACCTTTGCCATAGAATGTGAAATCTGCTGGCCCCTCCCCCAACACAAAGTGCCTACTGGGTGCTGCTCGTGCTCTACTCAGCCCATGAAGCTCCTTCCAGGCCCGGGCAGGGTAACCCAGCCCTGGCTCTCAGAAGCCATGGGACCCCATCACTGTCCCGGCTCCCGGTCAGCAGCCTGTCTGCTTGGATTGCCTGGGCTTGGTGGACACACTGGCTGCAGGCCCAGGTTACAATGCTGGTGCTAGGCCCTGCCACAGCAGTGGCAGGCCAGTACAGCACACACCACCCACTGCCAAGCTTGATACACTAAGAGATGGCGGCATACAATGTCCTTTATCTACCACCAAATCAACCCAGTCCAGCGGATCCTAAGTGGCAAGCCAGTACAACACACACCACCCACTGCCAGGCTTGATGCACCAAGAGATGGCGGCATACAATGTCCTTTATCTACCACCAGATCAACCCAGTCCAGCGGATCCTGACCTCAGGCTGGGCCACAGGGTCCCTGGCCTGCCAGATCCAGGAAGAAGCCTGCCAGGCCTTTCTGCTGGGTGAGCAGCTGACTGCCATCTGCTGGCAGCACCCAGGGGCCTTTGCCCACTACAGGAATAGAGGCCAACCGCCAACCGGATAAACAGAAAATCCACATGGAGGGAGAGCTCAAAGAGCACGCCAGCACACCCGTGCTTCGCTGCCAGGGGTCCAAGCACTTCTAGGAAATGTAAATCCATCCCCACCCCACCCTGGGGCCCAACTTTTCAGCCAAAGAGCAGCCAGGTGGAGACGGTGAACAGGAACCTGGAGGAGGGGGCCAGCCCTGGCTGTTGTAAAGATCAAGATCATTGGAGCAGTGCCTGCCAGGGATGGCCCGGGACGCCGGCCATGAGGGGGGGAGGAGGAGAGACAGACAGAAAAAGCTGGAACAGGTGTTGTGACCCTGTGAGACTGCAGTCAACAGCACGATTCAAAACAAGTGTGAGCTGCTGGGTGAAACCACGTGCTCTCCGAATAGTCAGTCATCCAGATGACAACAAAGTGACCAAATGAGCCACCTGTGCCACGAACGCAAGCGGAAGCAGTGCTCAGAGGGAAGGGGCAGCCGTGTGAGCCGAATTAGGGGAGGGGTCCGTGGACCAGCAGCCCAGTATGCCTCAGGGAAAGCAGGCAGGGGGAGAGGGAACCAGCGGCTGGGTTTTCTTTGTCAACAGTCAGGCTGACAACCACAAACATGAGAGAGAGACCATTATCTAAGATGGGGCAGTGGAGGTCTCAAAGTGACCCTGTCGACGTATAAAGGGCCTTAGAACACCGTGAGCCACTGACCCCCCAGCCCCCCACGGTAATCACCGACTCTGCCTATGCCTTTCCAAACATGAAGTGGAGCGCAGGCCCCCAGCTCATTCTAAGAGGACAGCAGTACTCCCAATACCCAAACCAGGCATAGACAATGCGGAAAAATGGCAGGACACTGTACCTCGAGAGTACACCTTCCAAACTCGGCAAAATACGAGGGGATTTCAAAAAAGGTCATGGAAAGGTGGGATATGAAGACAGGGAATTCTTCCAGGAAGTTTTAGGTAGAAGCCTCTTCTGACTAGCACACTAAATCTTACAGCGCATTCAAAGCATTAATTACACACCATATTGTGGGGATTTGCACCCATGAGTGTAGGGTGGTTCCCTATTGACATAATGACTGTAAGGACGGCACATTGTACCATCCTTGGCTCTATTGTACGTGGGGTCACTAGGCTCGAGGACGGCACCTAACCACCATGGAAAAACCCCTTGCTACCTACAACACGGCAAGCCCAAATCAGATGCTGGCTGTCAGCACGCATGTCAGTGGATCCTGAACACAAACACAGACCACCACCACCCCAAACCTCCCCAGGAGTTTCCACGGGCGGTGGGTGGGTATTAGTTAATGGGAACTGTTGAAATGGTGTTGGTTATACAGTCTTTTTAAAAAGTAGACATGTATGTGTGTTTTAACAACCAAAAGCAAACACAGCAGGCAGTGTGTGCTGTGGAGCCCCACGTACACCCAGCCTCACCAGCGCATCATGAGTCAGGAGTGAGGGGTTGGGGGCCCAGCCCCGGGCCTGGGAGAAGTCCCTGCAGGGCCTGGGGTGTGATTGCACTGCTGGGCTCAGTTCTACCAAGGACCTCCAGCCAAAGCCGCAGACAGACACACTGAGAGACCTGGCAGCCACAGTAACATGGTGTCCAGCACTCTGGTTACAACAGAGAGCCCCACCTTCACGGTAGCCAGGCGCTCCACTGATCAAGTGTCCTGTGTTGAACCATCCAGCCCCAGGTGCCTTCTGACTTGATGAGAAAAAGGTCTTGAGGGGATGCCAGGTTCTCCTTGGTGCCCCTCACCTGGCAGGGTGCTTCCATCAAACTCACAGCTAGGAAGCCATCCGCTGCGACACATGAAGCTGCCAGGAGACAGCATGGACTTGGTAGTGAGGGGCCTGCCTGATTCTAACTTGGAGGCAATGTGATCTGCACCCCAGTCCCTCCCCACATGACCCAGTCTCCCCCAAATGGCTTAACTTGGCACTTCCAGGCCCATTTCCACATTTAGGGAAACATGCTCAATGGATTTACCCTAAATACTGGGTCCTTGCCCTGCAGTAAGCAAGCCACCCCTATAAATAACTGCTCCACAGGGCAGAGAGAACACCAACAAGTTGTGTTTCAGGAGGCTAACTAAGAGAGCATCGACAGCAACAAAGGCGTGGCAGGGACCCAAGGGGTCATCCCAGTTTCCAAGCGACGTTCACAATGTTCATCATGTACTACAGGCCAAGACTCTTAGGATATTTGGCAGGCCACCCAAAGCCAAAAAGCACAATCAGTACAAAAACATAGTCTATACAGAGGAATGCTACATTCATCATCTTGAAGTCTACCTTCCGCCTGCCCGAGCCTCCTGTACAAAGCCCAAGTGAGCAGGAGGCACCGAGTCCACGCCAAGTAGGGTGCAAGCAGCCATCCACCTTCCACACCCTTGCCATGCCCTGAGGAACAGATCAGAGTGCTGTCTTACAAACGGATCACCCTTAAAACGTGGCTGACTCACCTCAAAACGGCTGCAGTCTTGCTTGCTCACAAGCACAGCCTCAAGAGGCAGACGGAACCAGATACCAGGCATTCCTGCAAACATCCTGGACCCTCCTCACGAGCCAAGCAGGATATTAGAAACGGGGATGAGAACGATTATGGAGATGAAGACTAAAGATACACAATGAGCCAAGAGCACCAGTGCCCCTAGAGTCTGGTGTGAGGGTGGGGAGGGGACAAGATGCTCAAAGTCGGTCTAAACCCACTGTTGTTGACTCCATCGTCTGGTGATGCTCTAGGACAGGGCAGAACCCTTGCCCAGGGTTTTACAGACAGATGGCCGCACCTTTCTGCCTCGAAGTGGCCGATGGTTCTTAACCACCAAATTCTCTGTTAGCAGCCCCAAAGCTTAACCCATTGTGCCACCATGGACTTCTCAAAGCCTGTGTAAAGGGCCTAAAACAAGACCCTGCATTACCTGGACCCTTTATCTCTGAGCTCATGTCCTACTGTACCTTCCACCCAGTACACACACACACACACACACACACACACACACACACACTCGCGCAACTTCCACCCGAAATGTGCACACACAGAATCCTGGCTCAAGACCTGTGGGTGCTTCCTTTCCCCATACTTGGTTCCTTCCAGGTACCCACATCCTTCC